AATTATAATTGTATTTGTATAATTTTACTTTTATGAAATGTTGAATACTTATATTCTTGATTATTTTTAAGGAATTTGATGAAACGTGGACAAAAAAAATAAGGGCTGCAAAGTTCTGCTGGTTCAATGCCTATTGGTTGAATATGATGAAAAATGAATGTGATGTACCAAGTATAAAACCTAAATATGACTCTAATAACGAAATAAATTTGTATAGTTATGTACATCAAGCAATATTGATGCCTGAAGATGGTAAACATTTTGTATGCGGTTTTATGTTAACTTTTTAAGTGTGTAATTTTTCATATATTTGTTAGATTTCATGTATGATAAAGATGATAATATTGAGATTATGTCAACAAAATCACACACTAATAGTAGTCGGCCAGAAAGCAGAAATCTAGAAGATAGGTTTGTAATTATTACAACAAGAATTTTATTTATCTACTGTACATTATTTGATTTGATAGATTTGATTACGAGCTTGATACATTCAATGAAGAGCAGTACAACATTGATAATTATGATGATGATATTACAAGTACAGGTGGACATTTGATGCAAAAATTTACGAACAACATTATTCATTTTACAGATTAATTTTCCTTTCGTTTTCTATTTTGTTTAGCTACCATATATTTCACTTAATTTATACTATAATGTATTATTACATCTAWAATTAATGTTATTAACCATCTAAATTAGCGGAGAAGTCTAAAAAGTAACTACTAAACATTTAATTTCACGTTATATTGCATATACCAATATATAAATATATATATTTACGTAAAATTATGGGCCACAAAAAATATTAATTTTTTTTTACCATAAATGTTATTAAATCATTAATATTATGATTTTAGTTTTCTTAAATTGGATAAATCAGATAAAAACTAGAAACTTTTTAGTTTATTCTATAAAACTGTAATAAAAGGAAAAGTGTGTGTTAAATTTTAATTTTTAAGAAAGGAAATACTTAATTTCTCAGTGGTTGTAATTTTGTTATTGTAAACATCAAAATTATTTGTTCAATTAT